AAGATAAGAAGAGAGAACATTACAGGTACTAGGGACAACCTTGTGAATGGGGACAGGAAACAGCTTAGAGGGTCAGTTTGGCTAGAATATAGAGAGAACAAAAGGAGTGCCGTGTGAATAGCTGAGAAAGGTTAGCTGAAGCCAGACTGAGGGGCTTTAAATGCTATACTAAAGAATTTGTTGTTTATTCTAGAGGCAATAGGAAGCCACTGAAAAATTTTAAGCAGGGAAGTAGTTTAAACAGATTTATGACTGGGGAAGTTATTTTAGCAGCTGTCAGGAGACTGGGTTAGAGAGAAGAGAATTTGTTTTTTGTTTTGTTTTTTGCTTTTTGCTAGGCAATGGGGTTAAGTGACTTGCTCAGGGTCACACAGCTAATAAGTGTTATGTGTCTGAGGCCACATTTGAACTCAGGTCCTCCTGAATCCAGGGCTAGTGCTGTATCCACTGTGCCACCTAGCTGCCCAGAGAGAGGAGAATTTGGAAGCCAGGAGTTCAATTAGAAAATTTTGCAATAATCCTGAGGATACAAAGAAACGCAAAAACAATCCCTGGCCTCCAGGAGGTGAGGAGGTTGTGAACTAGGCTGATAGCCAGCTGTTGGTGGTGGTGGTGGTGGTGGTGATGTCTTCACTTGCAAGTGAATTGGATTTCAGTGAGGCAGAGCTGTGCAGTTATCGGCCTTACTCTCAATTTCAAAGTCAACAGTCCAGTGGCAAGACATAGGTCAAGATGACTGATGACGGCCCCGATATAAGTAGAGAGAAGGGGATGGATGTGAGAGGTGGAGAGTTAGAAATTACAAGAGTTGGTAACTGATTAGACATGTGGTGTAAGGGAAAGGGAAGAGTTGAGTATGCCTCGGTTGTGAATCTGGGACACTGGAAGCATGATGAGTAGGTAGCCAATAGAAACAGGAAAGTTTGGAGGAGAGATGATTTTAGTGAGGGAAGTTAATATTATCAAGTAGCAAATATTGATCTTCACATCACTACTCACTCCCCACACGATCAGTAGTAGCAGAGGGATCTCTTCCCTGTCAAAAAAAAATGGCCCATTTCAAAGAGTCATCAGCTACCTTTCTTCTCACGCTGGTATCAAACGAGATGGCCTCTGATAAAGAAGCCTTTTAGATAGAAGGTACTAAAGTATCTAGGAAGTCTCCAGAAGTGATATGAAGCTAACAGCCAGTAATAGCACTTGGGGAACATGAAGTCTGACTGCATTACTGGGTGTCATTTTTTTAACTTTGATTGTTGTGTAATTTCAAGCATTTCCTCTAAGGAAAATTAAACTGATTCAGCTGTCAGCAAGCAGAAACTTTTTAAATATATGCAGGGCTGTCTTCTTCACCTCACGGTCAACACCAGCCAGCACCAGCTAACACCGACAACCATCAAGTCCTTCCCATGGGAAAACAGCAATCAGGAAAAAGATCAGAATACTAGATTTATATCCCTAGTAGAAAAGTTCAAGAAGAATCTAGCTAAATGATTGCTCTCCATGCTCCTACTTTTGAAAATCCTGGGGCACATTCTTCATCTCTCTTCTGTTAATGTTTCACTCTAGCCTTTTCTTTATTAGCTTTCTAATCCAACCCGGCTTCTCCATAGACTTGGTCATTTTTCCATTAAAAAAAAGTGGTCTTTCTTGGAAACTGTGCCATACAGATTCCAATCAGAATGTTGTTCCCCCAAATAATGACAATAGCTGACATGCATTTCATTTGCAGGGTATCTCCCTTGAGCCTCGAAACAACTCCGGATACTGCAGATATTTTTGTGCCCATTCTACAGAAAAGGAAATTGTCTTTCTGTCTTTGAGTTTGTCCATGGCAAATGCCAGACAACAGAGATATAAGTCCCAAGCTTATAAAATTGCACCTCCCAAAATGGCCATTGTTAAGTGTCAGTTTCCACCATGCCTTTCAACTCTATGGAAAGGGATGTCCCACTGGAAAGACCACATAAGTAAAATAATGATTCTGAAAACTTCAGACCTTACTCAATGGAATCACATAAAGTGAAATGTCACAAATGAATGAAGGCAAATGAGAGGGTTATTTTTATAGAGTGCAAATGCTACAGGCAATATATCCATTTTGCTTTATTTTAAGAAGGAAATGTGAACCATAATTATATAAAATATTTGTCTTTGTAATTGCTTCCCAACCAAGTATCAAATTTCATTGAAATCTGATAAAATTGCAGACAATATGCCCATTTGGAAATTTCCATCAAGCCATAATTTTATTTCAAGATGGTTGACTCACAAATTAAACTTTTTTTATTGTATCTAACTTGGAAGAGGAGTAATCTAATTTGATCAGGCTCTGAAATTTCCCTCTGGCAGGAAACTCCTGATCTTCCACCCCTCCCAAGCCCTCTAACCTCCTGGATTGCTGTTCATCTTCATTTTAATCTCCAGTCCCTTGATACATACCTATTCTCCTATTATACCTGCTCTGACTTCTCTTATCTCACTGTATACTCCTAATATTGTGGTCAGAATTTTAATAAAACTTTTTCCTCAAGCAATGGGGAGCCACAAAAACTTTTTGAATAGGGTAAGGGGAACAATGTGTGACGTGATCAAGCCTATCCTATGTGTAAATAAGATTACTTTGGCAGCGATGTGAAGGCAAGACCAGTTAAGAGGTTCTAATGTGCAAACTATTTCCAAATGACAGCAAGATGAACCGAGCAACCTCTAAAGTTCCTTCTAGCCCTGACATTCCATGATTGCTTATACTTCTTTTTTCTCCATTTGATATGATACTTGAAAGAAAATGCCTTGGAGGTGGAAAGAACTAATTTTTTTTGTGCAACATTTGATGATTTCCAAAAGATCAAACGGCTTCCAAATATTTACAATTAAAAGCACTATCTTGAATCTGATCCAGATTCCGGAAGTAGGGAGGGTGAAAGTGGATGGTGGTTTTGAGGGACTTTTTAAAACTTTTCACAGTTTTTGAATGCACCTATTGGATGCATCCTGAACTAAGCCCCCATGATTTTCTTTCCTTCCCAAGTAAACAAAAAGACATTCTTCATTGAGTAGAGAGAATCTTGCCTCAAGTAATACTTATTCTGTCTTTAGAGTCCGACCTGAGCATGAACTTGGCCAAATGATAGAGTATTCCAAAGCCAAAGGTGATAGGGCAACAATTTCACTCTTTATTGAGTTGTGGCTCTAAAAAAAATTTCAACAAAGGCCCACTGAATAAGCACACCACTGAAGGAAGCTGGTTCATGATGCTTTGGATGATTACACATCACTCGGCCTTATCCCAAAGAGCTGTGAAACAGGAATCTTTTGCGAAGCTCTTGACTAGAATTTGTCTTGCTTACTTTTGGTGTGGCAGATATTACATTTCTTTTTAGGAAAAATTAACATTAATAAGGAAAGTAGCCAAATGGAGGTCAAACAAGAAATTTAGAAATTATTATTTGTATCCTTAGCACCTAAAACAGTGCCCTAGCAACTTTTTTATTTTATCAGAACTGTGATTTCTTGATGTGGGAAACACCTGGTGAAGAACATCTAGGAAAGCAGATCAGTGCCTTCTCTGTAATTTGTAGTCTTAAGGAATAGCCTGGGAAACTGAGAGGTTAGTGACTTGCCCAGAGTCACAACATTTGTGTCAAAGGCAGGTTAAATCCAGGTCTTCCTGGCTACAGGTCAGATTTTCCACCCGTTAAGTCAAGCTGCCTTTCATCCTGTACATATTAAGTGTTTAATAAATATTTATTTAATTGAATGAAATTGATTTGAGAAAAGACCCAAGAATTTTGACGACTTAGCTGAATCATCAGCTAAATTTGAATGGTGAATCTTATGGAAAGGAACCATTGAAGAGGGAGCATGGTATGGATGAAAGAGCACTGACACTGGAGTCAGAGGACCTGAGTTCAAATTCTGCCTCTGATGATTACTATCTATGTAACCTTAGACTAGTCTCTTAATCTACCCTGGGCCACCATTCCCTCCCCTATAAAATGAAGAGTTTGGATTGGATGACCTCTAAAATCTGTTCCATTTCTAGTTGTACAATGAAAAGTATACTGGCTCTGGGATCAGAAGACCTGGGTTCAAACCTTGCCTCTGAAGTTTACCACTTGCATGACCTCAAACAAGTAACTTATATTCTCTGGGCCTCAGTATTCTCATCTGTAAAATGAAAGGATTGCATTCGATGGCTGTACATCTACGATCACATGATATACGTACCTATGCCCAAGTCTATATTTCATGTTGTTTGGTGTTATTCAGTCATTTCAGTCACATCCAACTCTTTGTGACCCCATTTGGGGTTTTTTTGGCAGAGATACCAAAGTGGTTTGCAATTTCCTTCTCCAGCTCATTTTACGGAGGAGGAAACTGAGACAAACAAGGTTAAATGACTTGCCCAGAGTCACAGAGCTAGTAAGTATCTGAGGCCAGATTTGAACTCAGGTCTTCCTAACTCCCAGCCTGGAACTCTAGCCACTCAGCTCAAAAATCACATTAGATAATGCTTATAACTTTCACCTTAAAAAGATACTCCTGCCTTTAGTTATGAGTTAGTATGGAAATTACAAGTTCCTGGAGGGCAAGAATCATGTGCTATCTGTCTTTACCTGTCTCCCAGTGCCTAACACAACATACTGCACATAGCAGGTTCTTTATAAATGTTTGACAAAAGTATAGGCCCAAGAGTGATGAAAGTTGATGATTGTGGTCAATCCCAGACTGGCTTCTCTCTCTTTTATCGCCACTCCTGTCCCCACCCCACCCCACCCCCCTTAATCCTATATCGATGCTGTTTTCTCTGTACACATATGAGCAATCTACCCAGCACACATCAGAACTATACCTCCACACACATTTAGACAGTCAGCTTCCTTAGTGTAAGACAGTGGAGGTAAAGTTAGATAATAGTTCATGAGGAAACGATCTATACAGTTTTAAGAAATGAGTAGAGGTTATAAAAAAAATAAAATTTAGACTTGATATGGGGGAAAAAATCTTAATAATTAGATTTATTCAAAAAGTAGAACAGGATGGTTGAAGACATGGTGGGTTACCCCTCCTTGGAGATCTTCAAATGGAGACTAGATGACCATTTGCCAGGCATATATAGTGAGGATTCTTCTCAGGTATGGGTTAAAGACAACACAGCTGCTTAGGTTCCTCCTAAGTTCCATGATTCCGTGATTCTTCTGGCAGTCTAGAAGTGGTTTGACCCAAAAATACTATAAAAATGAGAGAGAATATGTGTGTGTTTTTATTGTATATATGTATGAGTGTGGGTATACACAGGCTTATGGTAAAGTGGGAAGAGTAGAGAGTAAAGTGGGTTGGGTTGGGAGTCAGAAGACTTGCATTCTAGTCTCAGATCTACCAAAAATTAACTTTGTGACTTTGGACAAGTCATTTCATCTTCTGAGGTTTAATTTCTTCACCTATAAAATGGGAATTTTAAGAGAGACGGTTTAACGCTACTCATTCCAACACAAATTTACAAAATACCTACTATGTACAAGGCATTGTGTGTGGTACAAGAAGTAGAAAGACAAAAATAAAATAATTCCTTCCCTTAAAAAGCTTGCAAACCAAGGGGATGTAATATCTCATCATCCCATTCAATTAGTTCTAACTGAAAGTGCTACCCTCAACCCTTTGCTCACTTCCCATTAAGAATTTTTGCATGTGGAGCAATGTGGAGCACTGGAACCGTGCCCTCCAGGGTAGGGTTTGAAGGAACAAGGTGAGCTAGAGGAGCTATTCATGCTAACCTGCCACCTCATAGGTTCCTATTTGTTTTTGGTTTTGTTTTTGTTTTTTTGGCTAGGCAATGGGATTAAGTGACTTGCCCAGGGTCACACAGCTAGTAAGTGTTATGTGTCTGAGGCTGGATTTGAACTCAGGTCCTCCTGAATCCAGAGCCAGTGCCCTATCCACTGAGCCACCTAGCTGCCCCATGTAGATTCCTATTTTAACCAATTATTCTTATTAACTATGTGCTAAGGTTTGATGTTTCCAATGCCAGCGAAGGACCACAAGTGTGTTACTTGTGCTACATTGTGCTACAATGAAGGACTACAGAACCCTCTAAATCTGATAAAGAATTGTAAATGCTGGGGCAAACTCCCAGTAACTGCACCCTAGTTTCAGTTCAGCCTCCAAAGCCAACAAGTTGCTTAGTTTATTTAACTGAACATCTACAATACCTCTCAAAGCCATCCTCTTCTATCTACTCTTAGGGTTACCATCCTAGGTCATCCACTCTTTACTAACTTTCTAAGCTATTATAATAGAAGCTAGGTGGTACAGTGGATAGAGTAATGACCTGGAGACAGTAAGACTTGAGTTCAAATCCAGCCTCACTCACTCACTATCTGTGCAACCCTAGACAAAGCATTTAACCTCTCTGCCTCAGTTTCACTAAAATGAGGATAATAATAGCAACTACCTCCTACAGTTGTTTTGAGGATAAGATGAGATAATATTTGTCAAACACTTCGCAAACCTTAAAACACTATTATTATTAATAGTGGACTATAATGGAATAGTAGACTATAATAGTGAAATAATAAATAATAGTCCTGGTTAGTTTTTCTGCTTCCTATCTCCTCTCCAGTCTATCCTTCCCACAATTCCTAAAGCATCGGTATGAGCATGTCACTTTCCTCCTGAAAAAGCTTCAGGTTCTTCTCATTGTCTCTAATATAAAATATAAAACTTCTCAACTGAGCATGTAAGACCTTCCATAATGTGGTTCCAACATATGTTTCCAGCCTTATTTCCTATTACCCCCTTATAACTCCATTTCATTCATTTGATGTCTCAGCTAAACCAGAATATAGGTACAAGCTATTCCCTGACCTTGACATTCCCATTTCCTGCCTGTCTGCCATCTTCCAAGTCTGAAATGCATTCCCTTCTCATATCCAGCCTGAACAATCTTTACCCGCCTTAAAGGTTCAGCTCATGTACTACCTCTTCCATAAAGCCTTCCCTGATCCGTGCCCCCCCTCCCGCCCCAGTACTAATAATAAAGGAAAGAAGACTTCTCTTTAGCAGATTGGACTCTGAATCACAGGGATTAGTGGAGCAGCAGGTAGGAGTTTCCTAGACACATCAGTTTATCTGGTCCCCCACCCTACTGGGTCTTGTGAGGATAAAGGAGAGATTATATAGGGGGACTATGTCACTGGTTTCCATTGTATGTTCTCTCTGTAAACATAAAGGATCTTGACTAGAGAAGGTGGGAAGTTTATGCTAGATGATTGAGTTAGCAAATACTTAATGACTGAGTCCCCAGGAGCCAAATTGAACTCATTCACAATGCCAGCTTTATGACCTTCTTGGCCTTAGGAGGGAAGATAGAATAGCCATGGAGTCCCTGCAAATATTCATGGCAGCTCATAGGACTGGAAAATAAAGGCATCTTTTGATCCCAGGCTATGTTTACAGACCCTTTTGTTCCCCGGTCAGTGGAAGGTAACCCTTAGTTCTAGAGTCTTATGTGAATGGAGGATAGAACAATAGCAGAATCTTCTCCTGCTTGTATTAATGGTAGCCCACAGGGTAGGACAGTGATGGCTCCCTTTGATGACTTGTCCTGACAGTCATCATTTTGAGATCATCCGTATGAAACATGCTCGTTTTAAATGGGCCACTTTAGGTGAATGCGTGCTGAATATTGTATTCAGGGGAAAAAATTACATTAAAATATTTAATCTGGAATTCATATTATTTTCACCAATTCTCTACAATATTTTTTAAAGGAAACCACCCATAACAATAACTTCCTAGTCATGGGTTTGTGCCATGTAGAAGCGTTGTTCCTCCTGAAATATAAATTAACCATTCTGATAAATAATCAAATAAAAAACTAAGAAAGGTGGTTTTGTAACACAAGTAGTACACCTATAATTAAGACTGGTCTCCTATTGTACTACACTCTACTAGCTCTTAAGATGAGAATGGATGAGAAAAATAGAGGGGGAAAGGGTTTCAGGAGGAAAATGACATGCTCATCGTTGTGCTTTAGTAAGGAGAGTTCCTAAGTGATTATAAGGAGACGTAGGTATGGATGAAGAAAATGAAACGAGACCCATTGGTGATTGTGAGGACCTTAGTGAAAGTAAATGTCGTCAAAGGGTGAGTGAGAAGCAGAAAAAGCTGGGACATGTCTTATGGGCAAATACAGGAAGAAAAAAAGTAGATGGAGGTAAGGAAATTCTTAGGATGACCAGGCAAGAGCAGAAAGGCAGGGTGTTATAGGTTCATAGGTAAACAAGGAACAAGGCAAAAATCTCAAATAAAGGATTGAAATCTAGGCTCTGCCACCTAGCACTTCTGTGATCTTTAGCAAATGGCCTCCTTTTGACCATATATTAGAAAGAATGAGGAGACTGGACTAGATGACCCCTAAATATGTGAAACCATGACATGATGTTAGTTTTGGTGATCATAGATTTAGGAAATTGATGACTGATGCTATTTTCTCCACAAAAAATGTCATAGAACTTCTTGTCCTTTGTTTTCGAAGAGGACCAATGACATCACTGAATTATGTCTTGACTCATTCTTGAATTGGATTTAAGCGAGGCAGAGTTGCATGAAGTCATCAGCCTCACTCTCTCTTCCAGAGTCATCCAAGTCCAATGGCAAGACAAAAGTCAAGAGGACTGGCGATGGCCCAGGATGCAGGAGATGACCTTGGCATCTTCAATCTCTGACCAAGCTCTACATTCTCCACAGCACCTGCTTCAGTTGCCTTTGGCTATTGAAATAAATTGTTCTCATCTGCCCATTTCACCAGGGGAAGTCTTCACATGCTTGGGGTAGACATCCCCCTGACTCTCTGATCAGTTTGAGGCCTGTTCATTATCCTCAACCTAGTTTGGCCCATCTGCCAACGTGATTTTACCAGGGCATGGCCTCCGCACACATTACAGCTTCTTGGAACCCTCGATGAGAGGTGAGTGCCGGGTAGACACCAAAGGTGGAGCCCTGGAAAGGGAGGTGCTAGTCCTCCCTGAACACCCCCATACACCCCAATATTGACATTATTACAGTATCTCAGAGCTAGAAGCAATCTTAGGAGATCATCTAAATCACATGACTTGTCACAAATCCTAAGCCACAAGTCAAATCATGTCACTCCACTGCTCAAAACTCTCCAATGTCTCCCTATGGTCTCCAGGACAAAACACACACTCCTCAGCCTAGCATTTAAAGTTCTCCACCATCTGATCTCAATCTACTTTTTCAGACATCTCCTATTACTCAAATACTACATGTTGCAGCCAAACCGTAACTGTTCTCTAAACTCAACATTCTCTGTTCTTTCTACAATGCATTTTTACTGGCTTGTGTGCCTTGCATAGAAAGCACTCCATACTCCCTGCTACCTCCTGGAATTCTTAGTTCTCTTCAAATTTCAGCCCAGTTGCCACCTCTTGCAAAACACAGCCCCCTCATTAGTGTTCTTTCTGCTCTCAAAATTTACCTTGTATCAACCTACTTGTATAAATATTATATCCCTCAGTAGAAAGTAAACTCATTGAAAGCAAAGATTATCTAGCTTGTTTCTTTGTATGTCCCCATCCCATAGGGATAGCGTCTTGCACATGCTAGGTACTTAACAGTTATAGAATTGAGCAAAATTGAGTTGAATCTAATCCAAACTTCTCATTTTTCAGATGAGTCAATTAGGAACTTGTAATATCTGGATTTTTCCATCACAAGCATTCAAAACATTTTTGAATGTCATGTGACTCACCCGATGAGTTTTATGAGTTCTAGCCTAGCCCTGTGCTTCTGGCAGGTTAGCACTGAACCCCATCTCAGACAGAGCTGCCCATATTTTTACCCTTAAAGATCTCCGAGAAAACGCAATCTACCGAACCCTTTTTTTTATTCAGTGGGCTGTTCCAATGTTTAACAACCCTCTCAAGGAGATCTTTCTTTCTTCCTTTCTTATGTCTAATCTAAATCCTTTTCCTCCTGTGCTGCCTTCTACAGAAATGAAATACTTTGACTACAAAACACTTTTTATACTTAAAACTAGTTATTAACTCAGCTTCCTCTTCTCTGCCATAATCCTTTAACCTTTCTACAGAGGTCTTATTTTCCATTATTTCCATTATTTTTCATTGCTATTCTTTGGTGCCCTCTTCAATATCTCCACATTTCTTTAAATGCAGTAGCTAAAACTGGATATAGTGCCATAATATAGACCTGAGCTGTATTAAGTGTGGTAGACAAATCACTCACTAGTGTTTTCATATCTCATAGCTTAATGTAGTAGAAGGAGTAGTGAACAAACCAGGAATCTGGAGCCCTGGTTTCTAATCCAACCTCCCCTATTAACCATATGAGCTTAGACACGTTATTGCATGGTCTTCATTTTCTTTTGCTATCAAAGGGAGTTAATATGACTGCCCAGATGATGGCATGTATTTTGAAGGAAAACTATAAAGCTTGTCCATTAGTAGGTATGTTTGGGACAGATCACACAGATGGACAAGGAGCTTGGCCCAGAACCAAACAAGGAGAAGAGGTCAGGAAGGATGGATTACCTTCAGAAACTGCAAAACTTTTCTAGTGATCCCAGGCTTCTCCCAGAAACAAAAGCCTATGGTAATGGACAAACTGGATAGGCATCATGAAGGGCTCACAAGTGAAGAGAGGACAGATGAATATTTGAGCAGCCCTCATTTTCCTAGGGTGGTTGTAAGTATATTGGAATACTTAATATTGTGAAGGTAAATTGAGTAGTAAATGGAAAGTATAAATATATGACATAAATATATAATACCCCTACTATTAAATTCCAGTATGAGGATATTTATTTCAATACTTCAAGGGTCCATTTTTTTTTAACTTGTGTGAATCCTCCCTCCACAAATACAGATTTCAACTCCTCCAAGCCTTAGTAGGTAGTCTCTTGTAATTAACAGGAGCAGAAAAATTCATCACCTGGTGACCGAGTCTCTGATAATGACACTTTGTCCTGGAACTGTAATCAGTCAATACCTCTATAGCTACTGGAAAGTGTTGGTCAATACACTCTCATAGGGCTCCATTCATATCACCATAATTTTCCAAACCAAAGTTCCTCTCCCTGGCCACTAGATGAGTTGTCTCCTCCTATTACAAGGTAAGCTACTCAAGGGAAGGAACTGTCTCTGCTTGGTTATTTATATTCCCACCACTTAGCACAGAGCTCAGAACATAGTGATTAATAAAGGCTTTTCATTTATTCACAGATAGGGAAAGGGGAAGGAAATAAACTTTTATATAGTACCTACTATGTGTCAGGCACTGTGCTAAGTACTTTACAAATATTAGCGCATTTGATCCTCACAACAACTCTGCAAATTAAGTGCTGTTATTACTCACATTTTTATAATGGTGGAAACTGCGGCAAACAAAAGTTGAGTGATTTGCCCCGGAGTCACACAGCTAGTAAGAGACCTGATCTAAATTCAGATCTTTCTGACTCCAGCCCCAGTGCTCTATCTGCTGTGCAATCAAGAACATTAAGTGCTTCTCACATGCCAGGCTGAGATAAGCACCGGGGACATAAAAAAAAGCCCCTGTCCTCAGGGGCTTTCTAAAGTACATAGTTACAAAAGTACATTCACACAAATCATCTCTTTTGATCCTTCCAACATCCCCGTGGGATAAATAGTGCAGGCATTAGTATCCCCATTTTGTATATGGAGAAACTGAGGATCAGAGTGGTAAAAAGATTTGCCAAAAGTCACAGATCTATCAAGTGCGAGAGTGAGGGCTCAACACCAGGTCTTCTGGCCCCATGCTCAGGGCTTTTTCCTACTGTTCCTGTCGCCAAATATCACCTCCTTCTAAATGACTTGCATGATGCCATAAATTCCTTTCTTTTCCCTCTGTATGAGTCCTTATATCAAAAGAAAAAAAAAGCCCTTGGGAGAGATAACGCCTTAAGTCTTAGGAAATAGGAGAAAAGGCTCTGAGAAGGAAAAAGTCTGTTGTCAGAAACAAGCTCTAGAATGTTGCCTTGCTGGGCCCTCCAGTGAGATCTACGTAACACAGAACAATTGAAAACAAACCCAAAACATAGTGTTGTCCTCCATGCAGAAGGTTCATTATTTCTAGTTAGGGTTTAAATTTCTCATTGACCATCAAGATCAATCATATCCTCCCACCCCTACTCAATAACCTCCAGGGGCTCCCTATTACCTCTAGAATCAAATGCCTCTGTTTGATACTTAAAGCTCAGCCCAACTTGGAAGCCAACTCTTTTTTAAAAATCTTTTCTTTCCAGTATTCTTACCCATTATTCTCCTCTACACACTTTACAATCCTAACTTACTTGCTGTTTCTCTTACATGAAGCTCCAGTTACCGTCTCTGTGCTTTTGTATAAGCTCTCCCCTATTCTTGGAAGGCTCTCTCTCCCCTTAGCTCATTGTTACCTCTGTGACAGCTAGCGCACAAGCTAGCCAAAGCCAAAAGGCCCTGTGGTATCTGCCAAGTCCCACATGGGGCTTCTGGCTGTCAGTCACTCCTTGCTTCAACTCTTTTGTGGTGGTTCCAGTTTCTTACATCAGTCTAGAGGTATGCCTGCATTTTCCAATCCAAAATATTATGTTTTATATGACACCTTCCCATCCCCCTGGACACTCAGATGAAATTCAGTTTTATGCTGATAGCAACAATCCAAAGTGCTTTTATGATGCCCTGAAGTCTAGTTATGGGCCAAAGACCTATGGTGCATCTCAACTACTCAGCACTGATGGAATCACATTGATTAGTGATGAGGACATGATCCTGGAGAGATAGGCTGAACACTTTCATAGTGTTCTCAACAGACCATCATCAATCAATGCTGAGGCCATTGACTATTTATGTCAGGTTGAAATCAATCCCTCTCTACCAAAATTTCCAATTGAAAAAGAGGTTTTGAATACTATTTGTCTCCTCTTGTGTGGCAACGTGTCTGGAGAAGTTCATCAGTATTTTATATCAATTTCATGATGTTACGCTCGCCTGGGTTCTGCATAATGGATGATGCTGTCACGCTTTCCCAGTCACCAATGGAGTGAAGCAAATCTGTGTGCTTGTTCCCATGCTTTTTAGCATGATATTTTCAGCAGTGTTGTCAGATGCCTTCAATGAGGATGAGCATGACATCAATGTCAGCTACTGTACTGATGGTAAATTATTTTACTTGAAAAGGTTACAAGCCAAGACGCAAATAGAGGGAGAGTTGGTGCATAATTTTTTGTTCAGAAATGATTGTGCATTTAATGCAGCCTCTGAAGCTGAGATCCAACAAAGTATGGATCAATTCTCTGCTGCCTGTGCTAATGTCGGCCTAACAATGAACATCAAGAAAACACAGGTGCTCCATCAGCCAGCACCACACCATCTATACATGGAACCATCAGTTACAGCAAGTGGAGAAGTTTTGAATACTGTGGATAAGTTCACTTACCTTGGCAGTGTACTTTCCAGGGACGTACACATTGATAATAAGGTTGATGTACTCGTTGCCAGAGCTAGCTCATTGTTTGGGAAGTTTCAAAGGAAAGCATGGAAGAGAAGAGTTATTAGACTGCCTACCAAACTAAAGGTCTACAGAGCTATTGTGCTGATTTCATTGTTGCATGCCTGTGAAACCTGCACAGCATACCAGTGCCATGCCAGGAAACTGAATCACTTCCATTTGAATTGTCTTAGGAAGAGTCTGAATTTCGCCAGGCCAGATAAAGTACCACATAATGAGATCCTTTCTTGAGCTAAACTGCCAAGCATTCAAACTCTACTGAAGACAGCACAACTCCAATGGGCTGGCCACATTGTTCAAATGCCAAACATATGCTTGCCTAAAAAACTATTTTACAAAGAATTCATGCAAGGAAGGTACTCACGTGGTGGCCAGAAGAAGTTATACAAGGACACTCTGATGGTCTCTCTGAAGAACTTAGGAATCGATTGCGCTAGCAAAGGATAACCAGCATGGTGTACCCACATCAAAGAAGGTGCTGGGCTGTATGGGCAAAGCAGAATTGCAGTAGATCAAAAGAAATGTGAGATGCACAAATGTTCACATGGACTATTTGTGCCTGGCCTTGGTAGAACATTCCAAACTCACATTGGTCTGATCAGCCACAGTCAGACACACTGTAACTAGACTCCAACATAGTGATGTCATTTTGGTCCTCTTCAAGAATGAAGGACAATAACCACTACCTGCCCATGTTTCATTAAGAGTCATTTAAGAAGGCATTTATGAAGCAGCTAGGTGATTCAGTGGATAGAGTGCTGGGTCTGGAGTCAGGAAGACCTGAGTTCAAGTTTGGCCTTGAGTACTGACTGGCTATGTGACCTTGGATAAGTCATTTAATCTCTGTCTGCTTTGATCTACTGAAAAAGGAAATGGAGAAGCAAACCACTCCAGACAGTATTGGTCTACTATGGTTGGTGGGGTCACAAAGAGTTAGACAACTACCATTCCTCTGGCCACTCCCATTTGTCTTTTACCTAACCATGTTTCATTAAGGATCATTTAAGAAGACATACTATTTAAAAAGCTTTAATTATAATAATAAAAATAATTCACATCACGTTAATATCGCTACATCCAATGTACATATTCCCAGTCTTTTTGGTACCTGTATCAATATCAACTCCCCCCCATCCCCTCCCTCCCATTTGAAGTGGGCTAGCAGATTGTTCCAAGTTCTAAAGGCTTTGTGATGGACTGTGTTTCTGTCATCCAAGGACCTGACTAAGTTCAGATCAGCTCATAGCCAAAAGTCTGACCACCAGTTGGTTCATCTTTTTCATCAGCAGTAGCTCACAAAGATCCTCTTCTGAGGCTCATGTGGTTCCAAAGTCCTCTAATTAGGAAGAACTCATCAGATTACTGGTTTGTGCCACCAAACCCCACTTCCGCATTTACAATGGGCTTTACATCTGAATCCATTTCTTTCGCTGATGCAGGAAGATGAAGGAGAAATGTACTGAAGCACATTTGGATATGAAAAAATGGGAACCAACTCTTTTTTTTTTTAATTCTGCCAGTGGTGGACAGCTGCATTAAGGCTGCTATGATGAATAGAAACATACAGAGCTATGATGAAGTTTTGATTAACTTCTTACCCAAATAGCCTCTGGAAAGGGAGTGAAGGAAATCCTTTACTTTGAAATCTCATTCAGGCTGATGCTGAGCACTGAAAAAAAAAAACAGTTCACTTTGAGGGCTATGTGAATAGGAAGATAAAAAAGTATGTGCCCAGTGGTAGAGTAAATGTCTGTTGTATGATCTGGGAAGAATAAGAGAGGTCCTTTCCAGTTCCAAAAATCTCCAGTCTCCCACTGGCCAAAAGATGAAGATCATAAAAAGAAAAAATATTAGAAAAATACTCAGTGATGAATTCCAATGCCTTCATTTAGACAGGAGGAATCTAGTACTTGAAATCATTACCCTCCTAAAAACAATCTAGATGATCTCAAGAACTGACATCAATTTAGCTGTCCAATTCACAAGGTGACTTCTCAACCTTCTTTAAAATGCAAAACTCAAAGAAGCTAAATAACTCATCCAAGGTCATACAATTAGAACTGAAAGTCCTAGAAATCAATATTAAGTCTTCAAAAACAGGTACCCTACATCATGCTGTCTTGCAATATTCAAACCACCTCCATTGTGTAAAGATCTTTGTAGTTGGGTATTCCATTGTGATCAAGTTAAATATCTCTATATATGATATACATATGTATTTGCTATTTACCAGTACCAAAGAGATATCACCATGATAAGTACAGGGTGTTTGTGTATGTGTCTACACACAGAATATATATACTGTACTGAACACGTATATACTGAACCTACATCTACAGAATTCAGTTAAAATTATATTAAAACCTAGCTAAGTATACATATATACACATACATACACATATATGCACACACATGTACATATATATGCATACATATATTTATATTACAGCCTTACAATTTATACATATACACATACATACACACTCTTAGCTAGGTTGTAATATATTTTTTTCTGAATTCTTCATCTAAACTCTAATCACTAAAACAGAATACCTGAAAAAACCCAATTTCACAAATCACTCTTAATAATTCATTCCTAGTCTTTGAATGACATAGGAGATTTTTATCCTTTTGATAATAAATGATACATATATTATATATGTGCATGTATAAATATATATATATATATATATATATATATAAAGAATTCAGAGAAAATTATATTGCAACCTAGCAAAGTCTTTGAAAGACAGTGTAATAAAGAGGAAAGAATCCCTGATCTTAAAGCCAGAAGCCTAGGGTTTGAATCCTGACTCTGGGAGTGACTAGATATATGACCCTGGACAAATCACTTGATGTCTCAGAGGCTCAGTTTCTTCATTTGTAAAACAGGGGTATTAACACTTACACTACCTACCCCCACAGGGTTCCTTTGAGGAAAGTCTTTGTAAGCCCTAAAGTGCTATATAGATGAGAGCTACTGATATTTCTTGCCACTGATATCAGCTAGACAGCAAGCACTTTGAAAATAAATATACTTCTGTATTAGACATACTTAGCCTTGCATGTACTTCAGAAGTCTGTGGTTCACCATGGGTTTTGTCAAGACTCCCCAGGATTTCCCTGAATGTAGAAGAGGAAGTAATCGACAGGACCAGGGTAACATCTTGGCCACTCACCAATAGCAAAGGTACATCACCATGGTAAGTACGGTATTGCTTTACACACTAGCAATAAGCTTCAAGTTCTCTGGAGGAAAGTGCTTTGTATGGGAGGAATGTATTAATATACTTTGATTTTTCACTTATAATCATGCTGGCAGTAATAAATGGAAGTTGACAACGCAATTCGTTTATTCATTTGTTCAATCATATTTTGATAAAATGCAGATTCCCTAGTTTGGCACATAAAGCCTATCATAGATTGGCTCCAGTTTACGTTACTTTTCTGGGCTTATTCCATGTTATTCCTCTTCGAACACCTTCCTTTCCAGCCAAACTGGTCTACTTGTGACTCCCCAAATCCAGCATGCCAGTTCCTACTTCCATGCTTTCACAAAACTGTAAGAAGATCATAAATGCAGGGTTGGGAACTCTATTTCTACTTCCTTTTTTTTTTTTTTTACAGATAAAGGGACCGACATCTAGAAATGTCAAGTGGTTTGCCTAAGGTCACACAGATAGTAAATCGTTCTATAGAGCATGGAATACAAACAATGCTTCTTCATTTCCACTTCTCTGATTCCTTCGTTTCTTTCAAGGCTCAACTCAGGTGGCACCTCTTACAGGAAATCTTTCCTGTTAGTGTTCTCTCCTTCTTCAAAAACAAGGAAGGAAGGAAGGAAGGAAGGAAGGAAGGAAGGAAGGAAGGAAGGAAGGAAGGAAGGAAGGAAGGAAGGAAGGAAGGAAGGAAGGAAGCAAGGAAGGAAGGAAGAACAAAAGGAAGGAAGGAAGAACAAAAGGAAGGAAGAAAAGCGAGGAAGGAAGAAAAGGAAGGAAGGACAGAAGGAAGGAAGGGAAAAAAGAAAAGGAAAGAGGAAGGGAGGGAAGGAAAGAGAGAGAAGGGAGGAAAAGAAAGAAGGAAGAAAGGTGAGAGATGAAAGAAAGAAAGAAAGAAAGAAAGAAAGAAAGAAAGAAAGAAAGAAAGAAAGAAAGAAAGGAAGGAAGGAAGGAAGGAAGGAAGGACAGAAGGAAGGAAGAAAAGGGAGGAAGGAAGAAAAGGAAGGAAGGACAGAAGGAAGGAAGGAAGGAAGGGAAAAAAGAAAAGGAAAGAGGAAGGGAGGGAAGGAAAGAGAGAGAAGGGAGGAAAGAGAGAGAAGGGAGGAAAAGAAAGAAGGAAGAAAGGTGAGAGATGAAAGAAAGAAAGAAAGAAAGAGAGAGAGAGAAAGAAAGAAAGAAAGAAAGAAAGAAAGAAAGAAAGAAAGAAAGAAAGAAAGAAAGAAAGAAAGAAAGAAAGAGAGGAAGGGAGGGAGGGAGGGAGGGAGGGAGGAAGGAAGGAAGGAAGGAAGACTTTAACTGTAGACTTTAGTAAATCTATCCTGTAATAAACTGCATATAATTACTGGATTCCAAAAAGTGAGGCATCAGACTGAATGTGTTTGCTCTGTCCTGCGGAGTCCATCAATCACTCATTTCCGTTTTCCCAAAGACCTGCTAGGTGAGTATCACAGAACTCCATACACAGGTTTGTGATTCTCCATCCCTCTTTACTATCGAAAAAACAAAACAAAACAAAACCCAAAAAGGTGGAAAGGAGAGGCAAAACACTGGTGGAAAGAGCAACCTTAAAGCAGAGACACAAACCAATAAAAGCAAGTAAGTTCTGTGTCAAGGCCGCCACGGAGTCTTAAACCCAGGCCCAGTGTGCTTTGATATTGCAGAAGCACATATGGTCTTCCATTAAAGGGTCTCAGAGCAGTGGGCAATGTTACCATACCATATGTGCTGATTGGAACAATGGGGCTGATTTATGTTAGTGTGTGCAGGGCTTTTTCTTTGTATTTCATCTTGTTATTTCAAAAGAGAAATGTGCTGGTAGATTTATTCTGCCATTAGAAATGGGTTTCCTAGAGTTTGTTTGTTAGTTTGTTTAAGCTGAGAGTTTCCAGTAAGACAAAGCAGTCCTGTACCCTATAAGGGCTTGGAGAAAGCTCAAGGTTCCTGGTGCTCCTTCAAGTAGAAGCAGTTTCTTTCCCACTTCATCAGCTTCACACTAAATCTGTGAGAGCAGGGAAAATGTATCTTTTTGAGTTCAACAATCATTTGTTAAGCACCTAGTGTATGCAAAGCATATAGAGAGGTGGTACTTTGGTTAGAGTGTGGGCTTAGAGGCAGGAAGATTACTAACTAATTCAAATCCTGCCTCAGACACTATTGTTGGACCATGGTCAAGTCACTTAGCCACTATCTGCCTCAGTTTCCTCAGCTGTAAAATGAGGGATTTAATAGCCTCTAAGGTCCTTTCCAGCTCTAAATGTATGATCCACCATGCTGGGTGCTAGGGACATGAAGATGAAAATGCAGCAGTCCCTGTGTCCAGGGAACTTGGGGATGTGACATGTACACAGATAAACGTAATACAAGGTAATTTGAGGGGCGAGAGAGCACTAAGGTGGAAGAGAAGAAAGGAGAATCAGGAAAAATTTCCTGGAGGAGGTGACACCTAAGCCATGCTAAAGATTCTGCCAAGTATAGACAAGAAAGTAGATTTCAGATATAGGAGGTAGGTTGTGAAAATGCATAGAGGTAGGAGATGATGATGATGATGGTGATGGATAGTGATGATGATAGCATATGTATGGTGCTTTAAAATTTGCAAAGCACTTTATAAATGTTATCTCATTTTATTTTCATGACAACTCCAGGAGGTAGATTCTACCATTATCCACTCTTCACAGATGAGGAAACTGAGGTAAATAGGGATTATATGACTTGAACAGGGTCACACAGTTAGTAAGTGCCTAAGGCAAGACTCAAACTTAGGTATCCTGACTCCAAGTGCAAATCTCCATTCCTTGTGCCACCAAAGAGTGCAGAGAACAGTTAGTAATCCAGTTTATTCTGGGTCAAGGCTGCCAGAGAGTCTTAAACCCAGGCCCAGTGGAACATGCTGTACATGAAGGGGAATAAGGATAGAAAGGTAGGTTGGAGCTGAGTGTAGAGAGCATTGAATGCCAGAGTTAAGCATTTGTATTTTAGCATATTAAAAATTACATAGGGAGCCCCTAAAGGCTTTAGAACAAGAAAGTGAGGTAATCAGACCTGTGCCTTGAGAAGATCATCTGGCACCTGTGTCAAGAACCATAGTTTAAAATGTCTGACAGATAAATGAATAAATAAAATGTGATCTTCTAAAAAAAAATACATTGGAAAAGAAAGAGCCTGGAAACAGGGAGACTAATTAGGAGAATACTGCAATCGCTTGGACAAGAAGTGATGGTGTCCTGAATTGGGATAGTGAGAGAAGGGAAAAGATTCAAAAGATGCTTTGGAGACAGGTTGGATAGGATTTAGCAAATGATTAGATTTATATAGGAAGAGGAGGTAATGGAAAATGACCTTGAGGTCATGAACTTTGGTGACTGGGTAGATTATGGCACCCTTAATGAAAACAGGGAAATTTGAGGGAGGCTTTGGGGAAAAGATGAGGAATTCCCTTTCTGATATGATG